ATTAGTCAGGCCTATATCCTCCATATCCGACGTCTCCCTGCAGTAATCACATATCAAACTCATGGTTGTTGTTGTTGTTGTTGGGGTAAGAGACTGTGTATAGATCTACACCTATTTAAAAGGAGAGAAAAGTATACGGTGATCCAAAATGTTAGACAAGGTATGTTGTTGGTAAGATAGACCTTTCTGGTATGAATATGGAGGCCCAAGCTGCCCGGCGGGTGCACGTATATACCTCTACACGAGAGAAACGCATTCGTGACTTCCTCAACGTATCTCCAGGTATGTTCACGTGTGTTCCACGCCGCCTATTAATTCAGCTTAACTTAGTAAATTTTGTGAATATCAGTGTTCATGTGTTAACATAGTGACTTCTGTGCCAATTAAGTCGAGTAACGTAGAGATTTAGATATCGTCTGGACCGTTGCCAGACGTATGTTTTGTATAGTTGAAGTTAATTATTGAGGCATTCATGACTTCCTCAACGTATCTCCAGACGCTGTTTGGATGTTAACAACACTCCTGAGGTCCAGTAGCTGCCCGTGGGCACGATGGTTCTTGAAGGATGTCTTTAAGGTGGCGTGATTAGAATCCCCGGACGAGATTCCGGGAGGACTCTGCCAGGTGGTCGCCTGGGCGCATCTAGCGAGTGAGCCTCTAGCTCGGCGATCGCTGTAAACAAATGTGCGCCGCTGACTCCGTCTGGTGATTGTAATTCATCTATGTGCCTGGCTCAGTAGCAGCCCATGGTTGGGGGATAACTAGCAGAAATATAGTATCCCAGGTTAAGTATTGAACCACTGAATGAGACAAAGTGCCATGTTGCTCCGCGCCAACTAACAAGAGGTATTGTATGTTACTATAATGGTGGAGTTGTCCAGTGTGTTATGTATTCGTCGGTAGTGACCATGAAAGAATAACCTGAGAGTATACAGTAATGTTATAACCAAGGATTGAAGAGGTAATTTGTTTCTTGTTAAAGTAAGACCTGAGGGTCCAGTGATATCTTGTGTATAATAATTACTGAATCTCATTTGTCAAGGTACTAATACCACAATTGTCTAATGAAGCAATAAGTATGTGGAGGTGTTCAATGAGGTAATAAGTTCTTGAAGTGTTTGATGACTTAATAAGTTATTTGCGGTTCTGTTTTGTCTGAGTGAATCTAAGATGCATCTTATCCACTCACTGTGTTAATAAATATTGAATTAGTCATCTACGAGTAACCACTCTACTCCTTCTAAACATTGGTTCCCAGAAAATAATACTTACTCACGTGCCTATACATCTAGCACACTACCCAAAAACTTTCCATGAGTTATGTTATATAACGAAAAGTCTGGGTGGTGGCAGCTACCTTGTAAGTATAAAAAGTGTTGTACTAAGAATAACATGGTTCCCCAGACTAACCCATGTATAAGAATAGACGTAAAACAGAGTATACTTCAGAAAGGTAAGAACATTGAAACTGAGAATATATTATCTATGAAAGAAATGAAAGACTTGGAAAGTACAAGAAGAGAAAGATAAGACATGTATGTACATTGTGGAACTAAAACCACAGTATAGAAATTAGTAAATAAACACACCACGAAAGTCTAATATAAAACACATACATAACTAAGACAAGAATTACTTATAGAAGAATACTAAATAAGAATATAAATTATATTTATAAATAAAGAATGCTACAAAGAACATATAAGTATATGAATAAATAAGAATACTAACAGAAAAGAATATCTGGATGGTAAAATGAAATGAGAAGAATCAACCTTAGGTACCCATTTATAGCTGGGTTTAAGCATAAGCAATTATTTGTAGTGAGGAAGCCGAAATTTGGACAGTGTCATGATCGTAATGACGGCTAACCTGAAAACCCTAAGGATTCATATTACGCTTAAAACTTCTGAGTCCCCCAGTGGAAACGTCCTCCGTTTTCTGTTTCCTTGATGACGTCATCGAGAGGCCGTCTTTGTCTGAAGGGAACTTTGAATATACTCCGTGGGTTTTGTAGCAAGACGCTGTATGTTGGGACTTGTTGCCATCCAACCCTTTGTAATCAATTTAATTCTTGCTTTTGATAGCTCAATAAGAGCATTGTTTGTGAAGATAATAGTAGGGAATGAAACTGAGTTCGTAGTCTCAGTTCAAACGTCAGAGTGTACAGTAAAGTAATTCAGCTAAATAGAAGTAGGTGGAATCCCTGAGACCCTGACCTAGTTTGAGTGAGGGTGCGGAGCACATTTCAACAGTTAGTAAGTGCTCATACCCTCACCCACACAGGTAGGTCAGTCCACTCCGTGTTGTAATTCGCCATTCTTTAAGTAATTTGACCCAATTAATAGTTGATTGTGCAAGTGTTACAGTAACGTAGTTGATATGCTTTGAGTGAAGTATTGTTTACGTCTTTAACGTCCCCTGAAACGTGATGTCGTTGTCACAGTTAGTAAGTGCTCATCCCCTCACCCACACAGGTCCCTAAGCATCCTAGGCCGTGTTCAGCGTGGATGTTGCATCCACTAGTCTAGAGAGATGTCTGAGGGCCAGTAGGATCATTTATCTTCGTGAGGCCCGACCGTCAGATGCATTACAGGAGGATCTAAATAAACTGCAGGGGTGGTCTGAAAAATGGCAAATGAAATTCAACACCAGCAAGTGCAGCGTACTTAATATTGGAAGAACAAATACTGACAATGTATACAGCCTTAACAACATCAACCTAGAGAAGTCGACTTGTGAAAGAGACCTAGGAAGCCGGACCTACGGCCTAGAAAACAGTGCGTTAATGTTCGAAATAAGGCAAACAGAGTATTGGGTTTTATATCTAGAAGTGTAAGTGATAAGAGTGCAGAGGTCTTATTGCAACTATATCTTAGTCAGGCCGCACCTCGATTATGCGGTTCAGTTCTGGTGCCCTTATTATAGAATGGATATCAATTCACTAGAGTCGGTGCAGTAAAGAATGACGAAAATGATTCCGGGACTTAGAAACCTTCCATATCAGGATAGGTTAAAGAAACTTAACTTGCATTCCCTAGAAAGACGAAGAGTGCGGGGAGATATGATAGAAGTATTTAAGTGGGTGAAAGGAATCAATAAAGCGGATATAGATAAAGTTCTTATAATATCCGAGCAGGATAGGACTCGGAGCAACGGATTTAAGTTAGATAAGTTTAGGTTTAGGAGGGAGATAGGAAGAAACTGGTTCATAAATAGGGTGGTGGACGATTGGAACAAGCTTAGCAACTTTGTAGTAAGTGCTGAAACTTTGGAAAGTTTCAAAAGGAGGCTAGATAGAGTCATGGATGATAGAGAGTGGTAGTAACTCTCGACAGGAGCTGCCATGCACAGGCCAACCTATTGCAGACTCCTTATTATCTTATGTTCAGTACTACCTATGGGCCCCATAGCTGGCCAGTCTCACCCTAACGCTCGGCCCGCGAGGTGACCCCGGATCACCAAGCCACACACAACTACCAGCCCCCATCATTGGTGGATGAGTGTCTAGCTCAGTAGGGCTATTTGTGTGGTTGTGTTATTCCACTGGGATCTTCAGAGTTCGTTGGAAAGTACCCCATGGCGGGTGCTTGAGTATCACTCCTGACGACTGAGTGTTGTGGTGGCAGTTGCCCCTGGTTTTAATGGTGCTAAGTTACTGTAAGAGTTGTGTGTTATTGTGTATGTCCATCCAGTAGTGGTGTGAGTATTTTGAACCTGAGGGCATAGTACCAGGTTTCGTCTGTTGGTACATATAACTTTCCCCTACCTCCATTTTAACGTCAAAATAAATACTGTATTTGTATATTGTGTCTCTTATTTACCAACAGTATCTACCGTTATTTCTTCCCTATTACTTGATACTATAATTACATATACCCATGAGCCTCTCGTCACGCTACCAATGGTTGTAAGTATTAAAGTAAAAATTGTTATAAGAGGCACAGGCCCTTATAGCAGTATGACGAGTTTTTTATTTATTGTTTTCAGGGCACTTTTTGAGCTAGGAAGCTGAAATTTGGATACAATAGTGACCAAGTTTACTTTTTTCGTATTGTACACCCCAGCCCCTCCATTCCGCCCTGGCCTGTGTTAAATGCATTTAAGCTTATTCGTTAATGCACATGCCCAATTTCAATCTTGCTAACTGAGTTGGAGGGCCACTCATGAAGCCCACTGATATGAAGGAGAGCCACTCATGTAGCCCACTGAGATGGATGACCACTCAAGTGGCCCACTGAGATGGATGACCACTCAAGTGGCCCACTGAGATGGATGACCACCCAAGTGGCCCACTGAGATGGATGACCACTCAAGTGGCCCACTGAGATGGATGACCACTCAAGTGGCCCACAGATGGATGACCACCAAGTGGCCCACTGAAATGGATCACCACCTGCGGCCCACTGAGATGGATGACCACCAAGTGGCCCACTGAGATCACCATCAAGTGGCCCACTGAGATGGATCACCACTGTGGCCCACTGAGATGGATCACCACTCAAGTGGCCCACTGAGATGGATGACCACTCAAGTGGCCCACTGAGATGGATCACCACTCTCGTGGCCCACTGAGATGGATGACCACTCAAGTGGCCCACTGAGATGGATGACCACTCAAGTGGCCCACTGAGATGGATGACCACTCAAGTGGCCCACTGAGATGGATGACCACTAAAGTGGCCCACTGAGATGGATGACCACTCAAGTGGCCCACTGAGATGGAGGGCCATTCATGCGACTCACTGAGATGAAGGATGTACAATCATGTGGCCCACTCACTAGCTTAGGTTATCCATCATTGATCTAAACTGCACGAGCACCTGGTAACCTGCTTTCTTCCTTCAGTAAGAAAAGACTGGTACTTATGCTTTGACAATTTACTTTTTAAACAAGATATTTCTTTTGAAATAATTTAACTACCCAAAGAAATATTAAGTGGATCCTGGATACACACCAAGAGCATGATTAATTATAATCATATTCAAATAGTTCTTATCTTTTTCATTAGTTTTATTCGCCAGCCTTTATTTCAGCAATGCTGTAAAATAAGATTTCAACTTTTTACGTAAATTTTACTGTTCAACAATAATGAACTTAATTATTAGAACCACACGGTACTTCAAGCAGGCAAGTCGCAACACAGGAACCTAACGTCATTGAGGGCGGTGTCGTCAGTAATGACTCCTTGGTTCTCTTGAACGCGGGTCATGATGCCGCAAACGGCCATCCCTTGACGACAGTGAACTGGACCCAGCCAGTGGCCCCACTTATTGCCCGGAGCCTCCAAGTAATCTGTCTGGTCGATGCAATACAGGCGTAAGGCGTTGGCGGCAGTATTATCTCGAGGACCGTTCTCAGATTCACTCTTTACGACCCAGAAAGAAACGTTAATTGGACTGGTGAGGAAGGCTGGTTTGTTATGGGCACAAAGGAAAATATTAAGGAGTACAAAATATATTCAGTAAAACTCAGAAGACAAAGGAAGCTTTTTAAACATTAATGAATCTGCTAACTGTTTCTAGTCACTGATACTCTGATAGTCATACTTTTAGTCGCAATAACGTTGCTGGCGCTAGTGCGTCTGAAGTAAAACTGTCGGGAAAAGTTACCTTAAGATCGTAACCGTTGATGAAGCCTGAATCACAAACGTGGCCACCCGTCCAGGAACCCTTGTTCGTGCTTAGGGAAGTGATCACACCGTTTGGTTCCGTCAGGAGTGCGACAGAACAGTTGGATGGCGTTGACACTCGTATCATCTTCAATAGCGCCTTGCGGTGGCTGCACCTGGTGGATGCACATCACACATATCTCAAAAAGAAGCTAAGGGCCCGGATGTTCAGAGATAATTGGCATTTCACATACTTTCTTCATCATTCATGTTTCCTAGTTCTTTTAATATCAGTGATTTGCATATATGATATTTTATCTCGCATCAGAAAGAACTTCAAATATGCAAGTTCACCAATTATTTAACACAAAATTCCACAAATAATACTAGTTAAGATCTTACCAGAGAGGCTTTATATATAGAAATATTCATGAAACTCTGCCAACAAATCAGAGACTAAAAATGTTAAACATAAAACAAGATGATAGTTGTGTAAGATGGTAGAATATCCATTACATGTATTTTACTTCGTTTCCATAACAAAGAGATAATTAAATGGTTTAAAATCTGAATACAGTCTGCATTGTCAATAGCAAATTATTTCTGCATTTCTTAATGTTTAATATTAACTGTAGTGATAATAAGTATAAGAAGACAATGATCATGCTAATGTCAGATTATATTTACTGAATGTGATTAAGTGGAAAAATTATAATGTTCAGGAGACTATAACCCTTAAAATAAAGGATATATTATAATAAATGGATGATCAAGTGTATTTTAAAAGAAAAGTCATCCAAATATTTCACTTACAAATATGTTAATATGTATACAGTATATGTAAATTGTAAAATTTATAAATAATAATAAAAAAAGTTAAGATCTTACTTTGATCTCAAAACCAAAAGCGTGAGAGCCCTCGGGGCAGTTCAATATTTCCCCAGAAACCCCAGGTTGTGGAGCCGAGCTGGTGGATGAAGTTCCCTGGGTCTGGCGAGGCCTGTGGATGCCACCTTCACATCACAACATGATACGGTATGGTCACAAATATCAAAAAACGCAAATATTAGTTCAGAATAACCTATACACAAGCTACAAATCCCCAGCACCTTAAAAATTGAATAGCTAAAACCTATACACACACGCGCGCGTCATGGTTCTCTTGCTGCAGTGTTACACAGTTGACCTTTGAACCACGGTACCACCACACATTCATTGCCATCTTGAAACGAACTGATACCAGAGATACGACAATAAAAAGTTCCACCTTATGAAATACCTGTACGTCTCTCGGCTCGCTTGTATCCAACAGAGAAATAACTAAGCTTACCTTAACTCATTTCTGAAAACACGTTTTAATCAACTACTTAATTCTATTTGTACTTTTAGTAGTAATTCCTTCCTTAAAGAGACAAACATTTGAACACCTGCCTATGTTTAGGATACATTGTGGGGTTATGGGTGTTTGGGTTCACACTCAGGATGGGATGGAGAAAGGAAACTCAAAATGTGCTCTCTGTATACATGTTGTATTGGATGTACAATGCAGCTTGGTGCTGGGAAGTGGCAGCGTGGTTACAAGCGTGATGTAGAGAGAGCTGGTTGGTGAGGATGCTCAGAGGAGGACAGCTTGTGGGTCGCCATGCCTGCCGGCGGAGCGAGGGCCGCCAGGCAGGAGGAGGAGGAGGAGGTGTTGCTGGCTGGTTGGTGTAGGTAGAAAAGAGAGAGATCACCACGAGGTCAGGTCTTAAATAGCGTAGGCGTGGCTTAATAGTTGACCCCGCCCGTGGGCGGCGCTGTTGACCTAGACCACGAGAGGCATACACTGGGGAATCTGCGGGGTCGGCTACCAGCGACAAACAGCGTTTGTAGGGGAGAAATCCACTACAATACTCCCTCCTTCCTCCAGGTGGTGTAGGAGACTTGTTGTCTGGTAGGCATGGCACATGTGAGGCAGAACGCGGTGCATCCACATGTGAGCCATAACGGCGATGGTGTGAATGAGCCGCCGCTAGTGGAGGCAACTGTCTAGACACACAAGATCTGTGGGAGAAGAGCGGGAGAGGGTTGTGTGGAGGATGAATGTTGTGTTTTCCTCACACAGGTACAGTCCTCAGATGTTCCTGCTTGTGTGGGCCTGGGTCAGGAGCAGGCTGCACGCAGAAGCGGATGAGGGCTCATGACAGCAGCTGGGTCCACGACAGCAGCAGGGTGCAGGACATTAGCAGGGAGTACCTGAGGGAGAAAAGAGGGGTGTGTTTCCGAACTCAGGCGCAGGCCGCGTCGGCAGGCTGCATCAGGAGAAGCGGCAGGGGGTACTGCTGGGCCGGGGGCGGCGTCTGAGGCAGGACGGGTGTGCTGGGGTCGGTAGGACGTGGTGCTTGGGGCAGGCTTTGGAGCTGGTGTCTGCTTAGAGAAGCAGTGCTGCTCTAGGGTGTCTAACCTGCGGTTTAGAGACAGTAGCTGTAGAGCCAATGAGAGCTGCCTCTGTGGATAAGCCAGTCTTCCATGTTGCTTGAAGACTGAGAGTGATCAGGTTTCTCCTCCATCCTGTGTGAGTGCGAATCTCCGGGGTCACCATTTGTGGGGTTAGGGGTGTTTGGGTTCACAGATGATGGAGAAAGGAAACTCAAAATGTGCTCTCTTATACATGTTGTATTGGACGTACAATGCAGCTTGGTGCTGAAGTGGCAGCGTGGTTACAAGCGTGATGTAGAGAGAGCTGGTTGGTGAGGATGCCAGAGGAGGACAGCTTGGGCATGCCTGCCGGCGGGAGCGAGGGCCGCCAGGCAGGCGGAGGAGGAGGAGGTGTTGCTGGCTGGTTGGTGTAGGTAGAAAAGAGAGAGGTTTCCACGAGGTCAGGTCTTAAATAGCGGGGGTAACGTGGCTTAATAGTTGACCCCCGCTCCGTGGGCGGCGCTGGTTGACCTAGACCACGAGGCTACTCAGCGACAAACAGCGTTTGTAGGGAGAAACCACTACAACATAATGGAAGTCATCTAAAACTGAAAACATTTTAAGGACAACTGTTCCATTTATCCCCGATGATTGAGAAGATGTAATTAGTTTAATTTTAGTTTTGATAATCTATTATTATTTTTGAACAAGTCTGGCGAAAATAAATATACTGTACTCTTACACTAACAGACTGTGGCAATCAGATGAGCTAGAATATGCTGCGTACGTTGCTGAGAATCTCCATTAACATTGAGATGTTTACTACCTCATTGTCCTCTACCTACTACAATTTTTGTCGTAATTCTGCAGGGTGATACGCGCCTAACATCCCTCCTGACTTCTTGTTGGAATTTAAAATTTCCTCAACATAAGTTCTATTATATTGAACCATTATATACTCTTTTGGTACCGCGTATAGGGAAAGGAAAGTATGTCGGAGGAAGCGCGTCTTAAAGTTATTGAACTTAATGTAGATCATCATAGTGCGAACGCCTGGTCACTAGATGGCACATTAATTAAATGGCGGAATTTTGTTTTCTTTTTAAACTTTATTGCTATACTTTACTGCATTTATTTTATCTCACTTTCTCACAGGGAAATGGTTGTCGTAATATTTTAATACATGTTCTGTTTATTTTGGACCAGACGTACTTCTGGGTACTGTATAGGTATGGGACCCAAACACAGTTAATCTTATTCAACCGTGTGCATAGTGGGGAATAACTGCTCAGGTATCAGTGTTCGTTAACAGAAGAAATACTAATTATTATTATTTGATACAGAAACGGAACTATAATGAGTAATTTAACCAATGTCTTTGCTAAATATTCATTTTCTCATAGTATACCCTTAAAAGATACAGAAAATTGTTTTCCTTCTTAAGGACGACTTACCAAACATCATCATTAACTCGAATACGCTGGGTAGCTTCAAACATAGGTTGGATGGACATATGAGCAATAGGAGTTGAGTATAAGTGGGACTGCCCAGTATGGGCCATAAAGACCCGCTGCAGTTTCCTCCATTCTTATGTTCCTTCTAGCAACCATTATCGGATGCATCCCCCAAGTTAATCCTCAATTTATAATTAGTGTTCACTTAAGGATATATAGTGTTCGGTGACCATTTGCTACTTCTCGACTTATTTTACTAACCATGAAACAATTACCTCCCTTGAATCACTTATGGCCAGCAGCTTTTCACGTCATCTACTTACCAGGATGGGGCACCATCAGTGTGACGGACAGTTGCAGGAACATGGTGGATCTCGTTCGTAAAATGATATGAAAACTGTGCGCTCTGGTATTTATATACTGTACCTGCTTTCTGAAATGTTGCCAATTGTTATTATTGGGCCTTATTAATCTTCTTCCCGCAGCCTTTTTAAGGGTAATTTTTATATTATTGTTCAACTCGACACTGCTCATCTACGGGATTCTAGTCTCTCAAATGTAGGCGCATGCATTATTAAGTTTTTGATTAACTTTATTTTATTTAATACAACTGGTGAAGCCTAATTGTGGCGCTCAAGACATTTGTTTAATATTATTTTAGGCAATGAGATTAATGCTTTTATAGAAATTAAGAAGACAAAGGCATCGGGTAAGAGATTATACAAGGCTAGATGTTCTAACATTAATTCTCATGAGTGTAGTGCCAGGTGATGCTTCTCCCACAGAAATCAGGGCCACAGCTGTCACATGGCCTTCATATCTCCAAAAGTTTTAACATTATCAACTTTATGTTTACTGAAACTAAATAAATAAAAGAAATCACCGCCACAAACAAACATTTATATTCACTGGTAACATCAAACCCCAGCAATGTATATAAATTAAATGCTACATTTAATTTATAATTAGACGTTCTTAAACTACAACACGATGATCTTGAATTACAAAATTTAAATAAAATTTTCCTTGTGGAACGTAGAATCGGTGAAAAGTTAAATTAAACTACGACTTTTTCAACAAGACCAGGAAGCGGCTGTAGGAGAGACAATTTTAAAGATATTGTACTGTAATTTTCCAACATGTTATATAATATAAAACGAATTTCATCATTCCATAATAATAACTAAACCGTCGAGGCTTGAAGAAAGGTTAAAAGAAGTGTTTTGAACACTTTTACCTCGATTTTTATAGCTAATCTCTAGATTCTGAGATGGGAGGGGGGTAATTTCAGAAATTATTGATTTTCACCAGAAATAAAGGTCAAATTCGTTCATAACACAAAAAACATTGGAAAAACATAGTTTCAAGTTCGATTTCGTATACCTGTAGTGGCAACAAGTGAAATTTTACCAGTTTGGCTAGGTTTGGTTAAGGTTGGTTAGGTTAAAGTGCATTAGGTTTGGTTAAGGGCAGGCTAGGTAAGCTGAAGGTAGGTTAGGTTAGGTCTGGTTAGGTTAGTTTGGTTGAGGTTAGATTAGGTTAAGTGTTGTTAGGATGTGATAGGATAGGTTAGCTTAACTGAAGGTAGGTTAAGGTAGGTATCTGTCATTTAGTGATTGGGATGCATTCCTGAAAAACTGATCGCCAAGTGAAATGATCACTAAGCAAACAGGAAACGAAAATAATATCCAAACAAAGAAAATGAGGAATGATATTGTAGTGGATTTCTCCCCTACAAACGCTGTTTGTCACAGAGTCAACCCCACGAATTCCCCAGTGTATGCCTCTGGTCTAGGTCAACCACCGCCGCACGGAGCGGGGTCAACTACTGCCACGCCTACCCCCCCGCTATTTAAGACCTGACCTGTGGTGATCTCTTCTACCTACACCATCCAGCCAGCAACACCTCCTCCTCCTCCGCCTGGCTGTCCTCGCCCCGCCGGGCAGCATGGCGACCCACAAGCTGTCCTCCTCTGAGCACCCTCACCAACCAGCTCTCTCTACATCACGCTTGTAACCATGCTGCCTTCCCAACACCAAGCTGCATTGTACATCCAATACAACATGTATACATGAGAGCACATTGTGAGTTTCCTTTCTCCATCCCATCCTGAGTGTGAACCAAACATCCAATACCCCACAATATCAATGGACAGAT